GCAAAGAAGAACTCAGTATACTAAGTAAGATCAGAATCAGGATCAGTGAAATCGAAGTCACGGGGCAGAGGCTGATTCCGGAGTGGGGGGAGGCATCGAAGAGGGGCGGCCAAGGGAATGAGGGACAGAAACAGGGGAGCGCACTTCACCAAGGGCAGCATCCGAGAGAGAATCAAGGACCTCCATGGCTGGGACAAGAGACTCCGCCACTGAAATGGGAGGAGATGCAGGGCTAGTGTCGGAGTCGGAAGATGAGGAATAGAACAATGCCTTCTCATCCTCTGGGTAGGAAGAACAGATGAGAGGACAGGGCAGCCAAGGCCTTAAAAACCACCCGCCTGCTGAAGTACTCACTAAATCACCGGGTAGTTGTCAAGGCTTTGAGAACTCCGGAGAGTCCTCGCAGCCCACCATAAGGACGAATTGCCACACCTTCAAAAGTGTCAGACAGACGTTCAAGAACCTTCCCCAAGTAAAGCAAAGCCAAAAAGTAATTTTTGTTAATGACGTTCATGATTTAAGTGCAGAGGAACTGCAGATAATTTAGTAGCAATTAATACAATATATATGAAATTAAAAGAAAGACAGTTAACACAAAATATTTCTATAAAATGTAGAAAAAAGGGAGGCAAAAAAAAAAAAATTAAAACTACAGTAATTCAAGTGAATTACTGTAGTTTTATTTTTTTGTAATTTGTAAAATAAAAGGCTGCGCTAGGGAGCCTTGCTCGACTCAGTAAAGACAATTAGGTGAGCACACACACACACACATACATGTGGACGACCACCGCCGCCAGACAAACACACTAACGGTACACATGAGGACGACCATGTATAACCAGATTAAGGCTTGCCGGGGATAATATATTCCGAGTGCATAATCCTCGTTAAAGCTACTTTTAATTAATATTGTCGTGGAAAAGCATAACTGCATCACATTTTTTACTCTAACCTCGACGGGAGACTTACCCATAAACCTTCAAGTTCATTATTTTAAGTAAATTAATTTGACTTTAACCTGTGACTTGAAACTAATCTTTGCTCTCTAACAGAAGCCCTCCGCCTCTCATCAGCCTTCATAAGAGTTACATAAATACACAAAATAACTTATTTTACATTTCATTTATAAATAAGGAAATGTTATTAATCGAAAAACGAAAACAAATACAAATATATATATATTGTATTATATATATATATATATATATAATATATATATATATAGATATATATATATATACATATATATATATATATATATATATATATATATATATATATATATATATATATTAGCAGCGTATACAATAATATCTCCGGGTTACAAGAAGCAGACCCATATTATAGCCTCGGAGAAAGGCGCACACAAACATTAGGGGAGATTATTAGATCCCTCCACAGGTTGATACTGTAACTTATATTTCCTGGACAGGTTTAGATTTTCTGGGAGGAAATGGATTCTCTAGCCCAACAGGACATATACATATCCTGCCCGAAACGCTTTGCGTAATAGTGGCTTTAGGCATTGTATGTACTAGCTCTATCTATAAATCCATCAACTTTGTATCTTACCTTGTATGTATGTACCTTACCTGAATAAAAAAAAAATATTTTATTTATTTACATAGCCAGTCACCTATCCATGAACTAAATTATAGGAGTGGCAGGCCACATTTATCTGCCACTGTGGTGATGGGGAGCTCTCACCACAACGGTGGAACGAGGCAGACCTGATAAACGTGACCAAGCAACAGACACTTTTACTGAAGTAAAGAGTGATGACTGTTGCCTCGTCTTCGCGACACTACTCGCGCACAAATGCCGACAGTCACAACAACGGGCCTGAAAAGTAGCCACACATCTGAAAATAAAGAAACTGACGACGTTTCAGTCCGTCCTGGACCATTTCACGAATTGAAAATGGTCCAGGATGGATCGAAACGTTGTCACTTCCTTTATTTTCAGATGTGAGTCGGGAGTCAGGCTCAAATATAGCTCTAATATCACACGGCCAAATCAGTGATCTGAAAATAGAATCCACCGATTTCTGCTCAAAGGGAGATGGTCTCTGAACACTAACTCCGGGAGCATGGAGCGTGAGACGAGTCACACTTGTAAAACAGCCAGATACGGAAGCTGCTTGATTGAGCGGAAAGCAGAGACGACCTAAACATTCAACATAACTTCCACCACTGACATTTAAATTAGCGTGAGTGGTCTGGTCATCACCATTAGCAACAGTAATTTCTCCTACGGTAATGACCCCATGACCTGGATATAGCGAATGTACGTTTTCCCTGATAAGCAGCTTTGGGGATTAGGCCACTGACACAGTGCCGTTTAGCGGTTCAGTGTTGCAGTGAGGACTATACAAGCTAATTTGAGGTAAGTATTCAGAGAAAATAAATTTTAAGTGATAAACAGGATCATACAAACTTTGCAACCTCAGAACACATAATGTTATACTCATCATATGTGTGTGTGTGTGTGTGTGTGTGTGTGTGTGTGTGTGTGTGTGTGTGTGTGTGTGTGTGTGTGTGTGTGTGTGTGTGTGTGTGTGTATATCATGAAAATAAACACGTGATTAAAAATGTGACAGTTATCTTGAGGTTATCTTGAGATGATTTCGGGGCTTTTTAGTGTCCCCGCGGCCCGGTCCTCGACCAGGCCTCCACCCCCAGGAAGCAGCCCGTGACAGCTGACTAACACCCAGGTACCTATTTACTGCTAGGTAACAGGGGCATAGGGTGAAAGAAACTTTGCCCATTTGTTTCTGCCTCGTGCGGGAATCGAACCCGCGCCACAGAATTACGAGTCCTGCGCGCTATCCACCAGGCTACGAGGCCCCGTGTCCTACAGTGTCAGACCACGGAGGAAAATTGAAACAGGAATTTCCTTAAGTACTTTGTATATTAATACATCTTCAGAAGGAGACTCCTTCTGAAGATGTATTAATAAACGAAAGTACTTAAGGAAATTCCTTTTTCAATTTTCCTCCGTGGTCTAACACTGTCACATATATATATATATATATATATATATATATATATATATATATATATATATATATATATATATATATATATATATATATTGGTGTATACTGGCAGCAGGTTTTCCTTTATACATGTCTCATTGAATATGAAGTTTACCTATAGGTATAGGCAAGATCTCATACGGCATCAACTCAACATGAAGAAGGAAGCCCTCCAAACCCTTACAGAGCAAGCTGAGCATCATGAATGCAATTTAAGCTTTGTTAATCTTTCTTCATATGAAAGATTTCTAATTTGGGGAATTAACTTAGTCATCCTACGCTGGACATGTTCAAGTGAATTTATATCCATTCTATAGTACGGCGACCAAAACTGAACTGCATAATCTAAATGGGGCCTAACCAGAACAGGATATAGCTGAAGAACCACAACAGGTGTCTTGTTACTAACGCTTCGATTAGTAAATCCCAGTGTCCTATTCGCCTTATTACGAACATTCATGCATTGATCCTTTGGTTTTAAATACGTACTAATCATAACTCCCAGATCCCTTTCGCAATCCGACTTCGCAATCTCATCACCATCTAGCTCGTATCTTGTAACTATCATCATTACCTAGCCTCAGAATTGTACATTTATCAGCATTAAACTGCATCTGCCAATCTTTTGACCATAGAATCTTTCGACCATACGAACACTCTTTCGTATGCAGAGTGTTAGTTAAAGAGTTATATCAGACACCTGGTAACTCTTGAGTGTGGGAGTGAGGGCGTCGGCTTGAAAAGAGAGCTCAGTCGCTAGTAGGGTTCGGTGATGTATACAACTAATTTTGTTCCAAAGTTAAGTCATTGACTCCTTTGTTTTATACCTAGTTCTCATGTCTGTGTCGACAAGGTAATATACAGCCATACAGGAATATTCTTATTGTGTAGAGTTAAGTAGTTGCCCAGTGGAGATAACTTCTTGTCAGATATTCTTTAATATAATTTTTTTTAACACAGGATAAGTTTTTATCATGTGTTTGTTTTTCCATGATGAGCCCCCTCAAGGCTTTTCCTTATTTTGCAATCATAGGTTTTGGGGGATCAGACCTTTATGACAAAGTTGACAGGCCTTGTTGAATATTTAGACCTGTGTAGAAGGCACGAGCAAGTAATGGGGTGCTTAACAAGCAGACACCAGTAATCAACATCCAGGTGAATTCGGCTTCGAGCATTCAACTGTTCGATGGTCCTCCGTTGATCCAGAGGGGAAATGTAAGACCAACACTGGCGGACAGATAGAAGTCGGAGTCAGACAACAATCACCTCATCCTACCCTGTGTCGCCCCCTACGAACAAGGGGGTTAGGTGAATTATAGAGTGAGGTGTCTCAGGGTTAAATGTCTAGATTTTCCCTTGTAAGTTCAGTATAGCTGTGATAGTGCAACATAGTGTACTCCTGAAGATGTCAAATTGCTGATGAAATGTCGAAGTAATAAAAATGGAAAGCTTAAGTAATCGAGTGTTTCTCCATTACTTAAGCTCTTCACCCTCCAGATGGTAGAAGATATTTGCGTTGAATGGGATATAGACAAAAAAAAATGAATAATAGTCACAATGCTGTAGTGTTAAATAATATATATATATATATATATATATATATATATATATATATATATATATATATATATATATATATATATATATATTTGTATAATGACATTTTCAAATAAAGTTAGATAAATATACACACATACCAAAAGAATAGGGGTGGTAGGAGAAGAAAATATCAAAGTGTTCAGTGAGGATCCACAAGGTCTTCTCTGAGTACTCTTTATTTTCTTCTCCGAGGCTATATATAACGTATATATATATATATATATATATATATATATATATATATATATATATATATATATATATATATATATATATATACGTTAAATTGTTTGTAGATAAGACTTTCCAAAATGTTAGAGGAAGACTTACTGTATGAGAGGCCAGGCGGGGACCAGCCTCCACAACACCACCAGGGGGGGGGGGCCTCACTACATCATCCTGTAAACAAAAATATCCACAATAAGAGCGGCCCTTGACGAAAGTAGAAATAATAATTCCTGTTCAACTATGAAATTGGATTACTAAATAATCTAATAATTAGATTTACTAAATAATCTAATTATCAGATTTACTAAATAATCTATAATTAGATTTACTAAATAATCTAATAATTAGATTACTAAATAATCTAATAATTAGATTTACTAAATAATCTAATAATTAGATTTACTAAATAATCTAATAATTAGATTTACTAAATAATCTAATTATCAGATTTACTAAATAATCTAATAATTAGATTTACTAAATAATCTAATAATTAGATTTACTAAATAATCTAATAATTAGATTTACTAAATAATCTAATTATCAGATTTACTAAATAATCTAATAATTAGATTTACTAAATAATCTAATAATTAGATTTACTAAATAATCAAATAATTAGATTTACTAAATAATCTAATTATCAGATTTACTAAATATCTAATAGTTAGATTAATTAGTCTAAATAATCTAATAATTAGATTTACTAAATAATCTAATAATTAGATTTACTAAATAATCTAATAATTAGATTTACTAAATAATATAATAATTAGATTTACTAAATAATATAATAATTAGATTTACTAAATAATTGTTATATTATAATCTCATAAACTTAATCTCCTATATTACAACTACCTTTTCTTTCGCAGTCATAATTCTAACAGAAAAAATGGGAACGATTATAAAATATTAAATTCCCTCAAATTAGAAAACCTGTCATATGAAGAGACATTGACAAAGCTTAAGAATGGTCCAGGAAGGACCGAAACGTCGTCGTCCCTTCACCTTCTAGTGTGTGGTCTGGTCAACAATTCACAAAGCTTAATTTACATTCTCGAGAAAGTCGAAGAATTAGGGGTGACATGATAGAGGTATACAAGAGGATGAATGGACATAACAAAGGGGATATTAATAGGTATTAACACAAAATAGAACATGAAAGAATGGGTGTAAATAGGATAAGATTTAGGATCTGGGTAAATACTGATTCGGTAACAAGGTTACCGAACTTAATACAAAGCTCCACCCCCCCAGGCTTAATGAAAAGCTCCACCCCAGGTTCCACCCCCTAGGTTCCACTCTCAGGTTCCACTCCCCAGGCTCCACCCACAGGTTCCACCCCAGGGTTACATATCCCAAGCCGTGCACATCAGAGCGCGTATGATCTAATGACCATTGCCAGCAGTTATCCCGCAGTTCACCAGCATGGTGCAGGCATATAATGCCATACTGGTCCTGAACTCTCAAGTCAGCTAGCAAACACACAACATAACGGTCCCTATTGTTACCTTATTACAACTTGTTACAGAAGCTGTTACATCTTTTTTATGACGTGTTAGAAAGTTGTTACAACTTGCTAGACACTTGTTACTACTTGTTAGGTGTTAAAAGTTGTTCGAACGTACTTTCGTCAAGTGTTTGGAGGGAGTGTGGCTAATATCACGTCCCAGAACCTTTTCTTTCACCTCTTCTGGGATGCTAACTTTCCTTCCAACCACTTAGGCTGGACGGTAGAGCGACGGTTTCGCGTCATGCAGGTCGGCGTTCAATTCCCGACCGTGCAAGTAGTTGGGCACCATTCCTTCCCCCCCCCCCCCCCCCGTCCCACAGCAAAATACTTATTCTGACCGCCCTTCCAATCACAATATAGTCGTAATGCCCTGGTGCTTACCTCGTCTCTCTCACCCTCCTCTGATATGGGTCTGGTTCCCCTTGAAGAACTCGACTGGTCCTTGAAGAACTCGACTGGTCCTTGAAGAACTCGACTGGTCCTTGAAGAACTCGACTGGTCCTTGAAGAACTCAACTGGTCCTTGAAGAACTCGACTGGTTCTTGAAGAACTCGACTGGTTCTTGAAGAACTCGACTGGTCCTTGAAGAACTCGACTGACCCTTGAGGTATTCACACAAGGCAGGTGTGTGGCGTGGGGGGACACAGAGCAGGTGTGTGGCATGGGGGGACACAGAGCAGGTGTGTGGCGTGGGGGGGGGGCACAGGGGCAGGTGTGTGGCGTGGGAGGGAGGACACAGGGCAGATGTGTGGCGTGAGGGAGGGACACAGATCAGGTGTGTGGCGTGGGAGGGACACAGTGGCAGGTGTGTGTCGTGGGGGGGACACAGGGCAGGTGTGTGGCGTGGGGGGTGTGGGAAGACAAAGTGCCTGCCAGCCGTGGGAGTGCCAGTGATCACCAGAGCGACCTCCCACACTAATGGCTTCTCCCACACACAGACAACAACATATTTCCTGCAACTCACTCGCTAAATTTATTTTTAAGAACTTGCTAAATTTTTTCTTTAAGATCATAAGAGTAAGTTTATGTTCAGGAAGTATTATGAAAGTTAATTTTTAAGAGTGTCAACATGTAGTTAATGAACAGAATGTATCGTGATCCGGCCTGTACTCATCTTGACATACCAGAAAACATTCTAAGGAAACTACTCCAAGCTTGTACTAAAGAGGCACCCTTCTTGAGCCCGGATGGGCACATGTATAAGCAAGTAGATTGGGTCGCCATGGGTTCTCCCCCCTAGGTGTCCTGTTTGCGAACTTCTACATGGGTACCATCGAGCAGGTCTTAATTGACATGGACTTGAAACCCGCCATATACTGCAGGTATGTTGACGACATTTTTATGCAGGTACCTGATGTCAGGCATCTGCAGGAGCTGAAGGAGGCATTTGAGCGGAATTCTGTGTTAAAATTCACTTATGAGATGGAGAATGATGGGAAGCTGCCCTTTCTAGATGTAACAGCCACGGAAAGGAACGGAGGCTTCCATACTGCAGTCTACACTAAGGAAACAAACATAGGAATGTGCCTCAATGCCAATAGTGACTGCCCAGACAGGTACAAGAGGAGTGTTGTCAACGCTTACGTCGACCGGGCTCTCAGCCACAGCTCAGGATGGAAGCAAGTCGATGAAGAACTCTGTATGGTAAGGCAAGTCCTACACAACAATGGCTTCTATAACGGTTATGTTGAAGACGTCATTAAAAGAAAGGTGAAACGTCATACAACCTTTGAAGACTCAAATAGCACAACACTTGTACCCCCGATTAGACTGTTTTAGAGGAACTTCTTTTCGACGGCTCATAAAACGGTGGAAAGTGTCCTGAAAGATATTATTAATTAGGAACGTTATCCCTACAGACAAAAATCAGAAAATACAATTGACAATTCACTACAAAAACATAAAAACGGGCAACCAACTCATGAAAAACTCCCAGACACCAAACAGAACGCCTTGAAGGAAACCAACGTCGTCTATGGCTTCACACGCCCACTTGGGGACTGTAAGCCCCAAAGAACTCAGTATATAGGCAGGACAACAACGTCTCTTTCTAAGCGATTAACAATGCACAAACAACAGGGCTCCATCAAGGAACATATAATCTCTTCTTACAACCAGCCCATCACCAGAGAAATCTTAACAAACAACAGAAATCATCAATAGATACAGCGATAGCAGGAGACTCGACATAAGCGAGGCACTACACATCAAAAAGTCAACACCAGCAATCAACAGCCAAGTAACGCACAACTATATTCTACCCACTTCAAGACCCCGAACCAACATAGAAGCAGCAAAAGAAATTATGGGCCAATAGGCTTTCTGTAGTTACTTCCATTCTTATGTTTATACCCATTGATTCGTGTTCTGTCACCTCACCCAAAACTTTTGTGTCATTTCACCTCACCCAAAACAAATAAAAAGTCTTTGAAAATGTAAGAAGCCTTACGAAACGTTGACCAGACCACACACTAGAAGGTGAGGGGACGACGACGTTTCGGTCCGTCCTGGACCATTCTCAAGTCGATTGTTTCAATCGACCTGAGAATGGTCCAGGACGGACCGAAACGTTGTCGTCCCTTTACCTTCTAGTGTGTGGTCTAATCAACATACTTTAGCCACGTTATTGTGACTCGTCGTCTTACGAAACGCTTCTAGGCGTCAGACCAAAAATAAAAATGCAAAAAATGAATTTTGGAGAATTTATTTTTCAATTTCAGTTTCAATATATTATAAGTTTATCTGCAATTCCGCGAATGTTCAGGACTTGCATGTGAAGCCGCCAATGTACTTATTGCGTTCGCAAAAATACAGAACCTGAATACAATATGCAACAATATCTGCACGACGCTACAACAATATATCACCTGTGTTTAAACCATATAACATCACGTCCAGTTAACTAACCCGAGATGTATTTTCACTAAAGCGTTCATGCTCTGATCAAACCATAAAAGCTTTAAAAAATAGTCTTCAAAGAGCCATTGCAGAGGACGTGACATTTATAATAGCATTGCCATACTAGAGCCGAGCGGGCGTGTGAAGTGAGGGAGAGAGAGCGGGAAGACAGCGGAGGCCCAACTCTGTTAAACATCATTACAGCATCTTCCGTCCCCTATAACCTGAACCTTCACTCCAGTCTTAAGATGACTGCTAAATCACCGCTGCTGTCAAGAGAGAATTATTACATCGTCGGCGAAATAGGATTCACGTCACCCGAGATTAATATACCTCTTGAGCCACTTACATGTTGTGGAGGGAACAACGTTTAAAGTGCCCACGAGAGGGAGCATTTTATATCTTAGGCAGAGCTGGGGCCCTGATTGGTGTTAGTTCTTTGAATCAATTAGTTCATCTGAGTCTTTTACTATTACGAATGTCATCTACATAACGGCAAGAGAGCCGTTAGATATACCTGAGCCACACTTGAAGAGTCTTCTCGAAGCATGTACAAAGGAAGCCCCTTTCATCAGTCCACAAGGAGACATGTATTTACAAATAGACGGAGTAGCAATGGGCTCCCCCTTAGGAGTTTTATTTGCTAATTTTTATATGGGAACCATCGAAGACAGAGTCTTCAGTAGCAGACAAAAATCGAACTGTATATTGCTGTTATGTAGATGACATATTCGTAATAGTAAAAGACTCAGATGAACT